TTGTTTACCATATAATGAATTTATATATCTTTGTGGAATGAGTTTTACTTCTTAGATATTTTTTTTATCAGAAATTTAAATTTTATTAATATTATTAATCCGAAATTACATTCATCAAGCTATGTGCTTGTTTGGCTAAGCCATATGCTTTTACGTTCAGTTTTCGGTTAATACAAACAAAGAAGATATACTCAAACGTTTGGACGAGTGTCTTAATGTCTTCGCTAATACCATATAGATCCAAGAGTGACCTCTCTGAATTTATGGCGTAAAGTTGAGATGAGTCGGACTCGAGTCTCATATTTTTGTGTCACTTTTCCGAGAAAAACGTAGATATGGCTTCTCTTAAAGCTAAGGCTTTCACCATAAGAGGAAACTCACATATGACATGGTTTTGCTCTGCTTCAATGCTTTGTTTTCTGATGATAAGATGACCCACCCTAAACATGCAATGTTTGTTTCCGATTTCCAAGCCGCATTCGATTGGCAAATCATCGAGACTGCATTAAGATCGTGTTGGACCTGTCTATGGAGAAGTCCATGTTGGACCTGTCTATGAAAAAGTATTAGACAGATTAATTTTTTGAAATAATATAACAAGTTGAAAGAAAAAAAAAACGTTGATGTTAAATATCATAATAATTTTCACACATGGAATTGAGTTGCTTCTAAGTAAACTTTTTATTCCAACTTATAAAAATCTTATTTGAGTGACTACTTCAATTCTTTCAGCTCTAGGTTATGACTTGTGAGAGACATTCCAATTTCCAAGTGTTTGATTTGAATTTGGATGTTCTCTTTTACTTTGATAATAATATCATGTCGTTTCAATTTAACCAAAACAAACATCACGTCGTTTTAAGCGTTCATTAACGACACGACGTTCTTATCTAGGAAGCCAAATCCACTGAGCTGCATAAGACGAATTCAAAACCTCCTCATTTGGAGGGTTTTAGGCAGAAAACAAGTGGTGAAATCTCAGATCTCGGTTCATCGGAGACAAAGATATGGCGACGGAATCATCGGAATCGGAGGAAGAAGGAAAGATTAGAGGAGGAAACGATAAGCTTATTGTAGACGACGATCTAAGAGAGATGAGTAAAAACGCCGCTTGGAGCGTTAGCTCTTCTAAGCCCGGAAATGGCGTCAACACTCTCCGCGACGATAATCTCGAGACCTATTGGCAGTTATATAAAAAAAACCCTAAAAACCCATCATCTCTTTCCTTAATCCTTCTCTATTTCCATGGCTGATTTTGGGTTTTTTTTTTTCCTTAATGAATTTTGCAGATCAGATGGGTTACAACCACATTTGATTAACATTCAATTCCAGAAGAAAGTGAAATTGCAGGTTTGATTATGAGTTTATGATCTAATTTTTGTTCTGGGGAAAAGATTCAGATTTTGGTTATTGATTTTTTTGAGCTCTTTTTGATTTGTGAAGTTAGTAGTTTTGTACGTTGATTTTAAGCTTGATGAGAGTTATACACCTAGTAAGATCTCTATTAGAGCTGGTGATGGGTTTCATAACTTGAAGGTAATCATTTTTATGAAGATGAGTTTTTTTTTCAATACTTGTG